CTAAGGCTTGAAGTAGGAATTTAAGGATAAATTCTTGTGGCCTTTATTTAAGGATGATTTGCAGTGTGCATCTAAGGCTTGAAGCAGGAATTTAGGGATGAATCCTTGCAACCTGCATCTAAGGATGAAGATTTTGCAACCTATGTTTAAGGGTTAAAGCGGGAATTCAGGAATTTAAGGATAAATCTTTGCAGTGTGCATTTAAGGATAAATCTTTGCAGTGTGCATTTAAGGACTGAAGCAGGAATTTAGAGATAAATCCTTGCAGCCTGCATTTAAGGATGATTTGCAGTGTGCATCTAAGGCTTGAAGCAGGAATTTAGGGATGAATCCTTTCAGTCTGCATTTAAGAATGAAGATTTGCAGCAGGAATTTAGGGATAAACTCTTGCAGTCTGCATTTAAGGATAAAGATTTGCACTCTGCATCTAAGGCTTGAAGCAGGAATTTAGGGATAAATCCTTGCAGCCTCTATTTAAGGATGCAGATTTGCAACCTGTGGATAAGGATAAATATTTGCAGCATTTCTTTAGGGTTTGGGACTTCCAGGGTGCCCAGAGAAGCTGTGGCTGCCCCGTCCCTGGAAGTGTCCCAGGCCAGGTTGGATGGGGCTAAGAGCAGCCTGGGGTAGTGGGAGGTGTCCCTGCCCATGGCAGGGAGTGGAACAAGAGGGACTTTCCAGCTTTTCCTACCAATGCAAACCAACCTGGGATTCTGTGATTCCATGAGGATAAATCCGTGCCATTTGTTGCCCCTGCTGTGCCTTTCCCTGCACTGAGCTGCTCGGGTCTCAGCTGCTGACGCTGGGGGACGATGTTTTTGCACCCCCAGCTCGTCCTGGACTCCCAGAAACGTGTTTTCTCCTGGGGCTTTGGGGGTTATGGGCGCCTGGGCCACGCGGAGCAGAAGGACGAGATGGTGCCGCGGCTGGTGAAGCTCTTTGACTTCCCGGGCCGTGGAGCCGCCCAGATCTACGCGGGATACACCTGCTCCTTCGCCGTCAGCGAGACAGGTCGGCATTCCCGGGGCTCGGGGGGGTTGGGAGTGCTCAGGGGGCCGTAGCCTGACGGGCAGTGTTGCAGGTGGCTTGTTCTTTTGGGGGGCCACCAACACCTCCCGGGAGTCCACCATGTACCCCAAGGCCGTGCAGGACCTCTGCGGCTGGAAAATCCGCAGCCTGGCCTGTGGGTGAGTCCGAGCTCCGATGAAACGTTCCCGTTCCGTGGGTTTTGGGGTGGTGGGAGGGCTCAGGGGCTCACCCTGCCTCGCCCCCTCTGCAGGAAGAGCAGCATCATCGTGGCGGCCGACGAGAGCACCATCAGCTGGGGGCCCTCCCCCACCTTTGGGGAGCTGGTAAGGAGGGTTTCCTGGGGACCCCCGGCCCAGGGATACCCCAGAACCCCCCCAGGCAGTGGGAGGGACTGACTGCTTCCAATGCCCACGTTGACTCTGCCCCTTTCCATGGGATGCTCTTGGCAGGGGTACGGAGACCACAAGCCCAAATCCTCGACAGCTGCACAGGAGGTGAAGACCCTGGATGGGATCTACACGGAGCAGGTGAGGGGGCACCCCACAGGGGGCTGGGGGAGGGCACGGGGACCCCCTCCAATGGATGGGGCAGCTGAGGCCATGCACAGCTCATCACACCCAAGGGCTCTTGGAGGGAGGGCACAAAGAGCCCTCTTCTGAAATAAATGTGGGGCCGAGGCCGTGCACAGCTCATCACACCCATGGGCTGCCAGAGGACACAAGGGGCCCTCCCTTTATATGAATGGGGCAGCTGAGGCCATGCACAGCTCATCACACCCATGGGAGGCTGAGCAGAATGTGCATGGACCCCGCTCTTCAATAGATCTGGTGGCTGAGGCCGTGCACAGCTCAGCACACCTGTGGGGGTCTGAAGGGAGGACACGAGGAGGACTCCCTCGAAATAAATATTGTAAATAAATGTGGTGTCTGAGGCCGTGCACAGCTCAGGACACCCGTGGGGTGCTGGAGACAGCGTGGTGGGAGCCCCCCTTCAATAAATGGGGCAGCTGAGGCTGTGCACAGCTCATCACACCCATGGGTTGTAAGAGGACACAAGGGGCCCTCCCTTTAAATAAATGGGGCAGCTGAGACCGTGCACAGCTCAGCACACCCATGGGATGCTGGAGGGGGGGGTGTGTAGAGCCCTTCTTGTAAATAAATGTGCTGTCTGAGGCCGTGCCCAGCTCTTCACACCCGTGGGGTACTGAACAGGAGGTACATGGAGACCCCTCCCCTTTAAATAAACCTTTAAATGATTACAGTGGTTGAGGCCGTGCCCAGCTCATCACACCTGTGGGGTGCTGGAGGGGGGTGTGGGGTCCT